CATTAAAGTACAAAAGCTCCACCCCTGATGAGCGTAATATCACAATCCGCAATTTATCTGAAGCCCCAAAAGCTTATTTAATATTGTTTAAGATTAATTAATCATTTAAAATTAATTAGATTTCTTACAGTCCAAAAAGTGGAAAAATTTCTGAATATCCTCTTCCTTCAAAGCTCTTCTCAAAAACTTCCATAATTACAGACCGGCCTTCAATAACGACCCTCTTATCCCAACTCCTTGCTTGCCTAATTCACACTAACGTCTCTTGCAAAACTTTAACTCTTCAATCAACACGTCCCTGAAAAAAATCATTTACATTCTCGATTTTCCAGCAAGGTATCTCCGAAAAATTCCTAATTTAATTTGCCCGACTTTCCGCTTTTTAAATTTGGCGATTTTATTAGGAAAAAGCGGTTCTCGCTTGCTGAAATGTGATTTTTTCCAGACCCACATTTCAGAATGTTTCAAGGGCATAATCACCCCTAATTTGAAAAGTATGTCCTGGGAGCAAAAAGCAGCCACCTGTTATGGGTGGAACAAAAGAGCAGACCCTACTCTCTGGCAATTGTTACCGAGGTGTTATTATTAAACGTAGTTTCTTAACAATGTTGATTCAGTAGGATTTTATTGTTTGCAGAACGATTAATGCACTGCCAAGTGCCGTAAACCGGCTTTATTACAGCTTAAAATAAATTGACTTTTGAGTCAATGTCAAGGTAGAGGAACCTCTCAAAATCAATAAATTCCTTTTTTTTAAGATAAGTTATTGGTGAAAAAATTTGGCGAGATTCTGATCGCGAGCAGTAAACAAAGAGAGAAGCGTTTTCAGGCTCAATGTCAAAAGTAAAATAAATCTAAATTTATGTCAGAGTCTCGTATCTCTAAGAAGTCGAGGTAGCCGCTGGCAAAAACATTATGCTGAATTTTTAGGCATACAATATTGTCCTGGACTTTTATATCGCTGAAATGCTCCTGAAAGGCGCATTACATATTCGTGAGACGCAGTTTTATGAAAAACTTTGCAAATTTCGGATAAAATGTTACAAGTTCGCACGCCAAAGAGATTTGTTTTTTACGTGGTTTTAAATTAAAAAGCGTAATAAAGCAAGCAGATTTATAAGCATTTTTTATGGCACTATAAAATAGCAAGTACTTGACAAAGGGTTCCGAGAAGAATGATGTGTAAGCAAATCATTTCCTTTAACAATTTTTATAGAAAAATTGCTGATAGAAAAATTGCGAACTAAAGAGGAAACTCGTGCATTCAATTTTCCTCTATAAATGCTTATCCCTTTAACAACTTACTTTAAGCTAAATTGGATCAAAAAATAAGATTGGCAATTGATTTAGCTACTAATTATTTTTATCTAAATGCCAGTTTCGACACTAATGTTTATGATACTTAATAAATTGTTCATGGTAATTTTTGTGTTTTCAGTTCTTTTTCTTCGGTATTTGTTTTTTGTTAAAATCTTACTTTTTACTTTTGCTTTATTAAATTTTTACATTTTTTTTAGTAAAGATTATTTCAGTAATTTTATATTTGAAAGTACATTTTAAGATAAAACTTTTGTTGTACCTACCGTAATAACCATAATAATGCTTTCATTTAATTAAATTCTGTTAATAAATAATTAAATTCTGTTTTTTTAAATTTTGTACAATATTTTTAACATCTAAATAAAAATATGCACTGATTTGTACATTAAACTAACTTAACTAAATTTTGAGCAAATAATACAAGCAAATTTATTTCTTAAAATAAAACAAAATTTTGCTATGAGGTTTGAGGTACATTGGAATACTAATAAACTAATAAGCCTTAATCATGTTGTGATCTTTTTGTTTGTTTTTTATTTTAACATTTGAAACGAATGTATTATAATAACTTTTAAAACGTGTTTTTGATTGAGTTTATAGTAAAAAATGTCTATAACTTTGGGTTATTATTTATTTTTCAAAAAAAAAATAGCTAAATAAGGAACAGAAATCAAGAAAATAATCATCAATAATAATAATACAATTTTAAAACATTTTTTGGAAAATAAATAAATATATATTTTTCTGAAAAAAGCAAGTTGAAATAAACTACTTTCAACTGTATTTATTGCTTTCATTGTTATTAAAGTAGAACAGGCGGCAACGAATTTTTAGAAAATCTTTTAAAACCCCAATTCCCTCTCAACCAATTAATCCCATATTTAAACCCAGCTTTAACACTTGAACAATTATACATAAAAACCCTTCCCGTCGTACACCTCTCACACTTGAGCGAAATTTACGTCGTGAAAACAGTCGGGAAAGCGGCGAAGAAACGGTCTGTTAATCTAGACATTGTTTTCATAGCTTCCAACTTCTCGCCTAATTGTTGTGAAATTGTCTTTAATGGCAGAAATAAAAACCTATTCACAGGTTCTTCACCTTGCTGCAGTCGGGGTAGGTCAGTGGATTATTACATCGATCAAAAAAACACTACCTCGTTTAATTTTTATCGAATTACGTTCACCAAAACGAAACAAACATCTTTCATATGTGTACTAAATTCAACAACTCGAACAACGCAAGTGATAGATTACTACCCTTGTGATATATTATTAAGCTTTAGACAAATTTATATCTCGGTGATAATTTATCGTTTCACCATTTGAACACTTTTTAATGGTGGTAAACCTGCACCCACAGCCTGACTAGACGCGTTTTTACACACATTCATTTTAATTAACAAGCGGAACATTTGCTACATGCTTTTTGTTCATGTGGGTTCAAATTTGCAATTATTTTGTTAGCGTTCATATTTTTTAAGATAAATATACTTATTGATTTGTGAACAATGTTTTGGAAATTCGCTCTTTTGTACTCAAATTTTTCAGTTTCAGGTAATTAAAAAAACTCAATCCCACCTAACACAATTATTACTGAAATATTATGAAAGCAACCACAAAACAGATAACGAATTTGTTTTGAGGCCAAGGGCGCTCCGGTGATATATCCCTTTTGGAGGAGGCGTGGTAGGAAGACAAACGTATCTCGTAACAAATGAATCTAAAAATTTAAACTTTTGCATAGTGACTATATTTATTGAGATTTCAACTATTAAACAATTACTTCATAAACTAGAAAAACTGTTTATTTTCCTAGTCCATATTTCATCAATCATCATATTTACTCGTAAATAGCTTTTTTAAACGAATTGTAACAAATAAAATTTTTAAATTTTGTAAAATCTTTACTTAATAAATGAAGTAAAAATAGGAAAAAAGTATCACGCACAAAAGCTATTTTTCTTTAGTGTTTTTTATAGGCTATCTAAAATACGAAAAGCTCTGAGTCGCAAGTACGCAGTGGACAAAAAAAGGGTTTGAACAGAAGCTTCATTTTTGTAGACAGTTCTGGTATTCACATCGGTACACATCCGCAAAAAGTATTGTTCTTAGTGCCAAATAAAGTTTGATTGATGTGAAAATAAAACAAAGTTGTTTCACATACTGTACCCCAGCTAAACCGGTTGTCCATCACACTCTAACAGAGACTCGCTCTTTTTATTTTTGTGCATCTCGCAGCCTTTCTTATTCTATATAAACTGTACATAAAATAACAAAAACAAAAAAAAAACAAAATGTACTTTAGATTATTTACTGATAACTGATAAGCAGGGACGGATCTAGGGACCCAAACCCGGGCCCAAAACTACTGAAGCGCCAAATGATTTTCCAAATTTTTTTGTTAGGTTTGCAGCTAACAGAACTAGATAGCATCAAGGGCGATTTCTAAGTAAGTATTTCTTTTATTTAGTTGGATTATATTACTAGTTTAATAATAACGGCAATGTATAAACACTAAATGGCATCATCTATGATGCAGACTCAGAAATAAGTCGATTGACTTAATAAATTATATCAAGGTCACAACATAAAAGTTGTACTCGGATGACTAATTGCAATTAATCAAAAACATATAGTTTGGTAAGCTTTAAAATATTCTGAAAAAAATCGCCTAAGAACATAAATTAATTGTAAACACTCAAAAAGTCATACCCACTTATAATATAACGTCCCCACCCAAATTATCGGAAAATACGTAAAGCATATCATAAACCAAGTTGTAAATAAAATATTTATTAATGATCAAACATGGTTCAGGACAACCTTTCTGGTTTAGCAATCTTAAGCATCGAACATGAAATTTCCGGAAAAATAAATCTCGAAGAAATTGTAGATAAGTTTGCAGCAACAAAAACACGAAAAGTAAAATTTTAATTTTTTTAAGTGATTACTCATTATTGTAAAATTTTTATTCTGATATGAAATACACTTTTTGAAAAACAAAGGCCCGTCAACTAATTCTGTCCCCCCTAAAAAATTTTCACGATCCGTCCCTGCTATCAGCAAACAATAATATCTTTTGGGTAAAGTCTCAAAGAAAGAAAACATGTTGATTTGACAAAAACTTCTCCACTAAGCTTCACTCCGCAGCGTTGTCTAAACTAGTAGCAAAAAGAGTTAAAATCTAGAAAATTCATATTTATAAAGAAAAATTAGAAATGTGTAAAAATTTAACGATATTTTTGTAATTATATTTCATTTATTTATTTATTAAACATTACTTAGAGTCATAATTTAAAAACAATTTCATCTCAACAACCCCTTTGACACTAAGTAAATCTCCGCCGCTCAGTTATCATCCCTAAACCTGAAAGTAAACTTGACCGTACTTAGATTCGTCTTCAGCGCGTTTTTCTTTCGTTGAGTCAAGTCTACTTAGAAACGCCGTAAATTGGCTTTAAACATATCGTAAGTTTTTTGCATTTGTTAGTTAACCTATTGATTAAATTTAAACAATTTAAAAAATGTGTTACTTCAGTTGTACTGAAATATTACGAAAACAACCAGAAAACAAACAACTAAAATGTTTTGAGAACAAGGGCACTCCTGTGATATATTTCGTTTGGAGGCGGAATGCCAACGTATCTTGTATCAAATGTAAAAAAATCAAACTTTTGTAAAGTGACTATTTATTGATATTACAACTAATTAGTACAAGTCATTTGTTATAAGAATATATACAGTTATTATATATTAATTACAAGAATAATATATACAAAAATATTTATTGCACATTAGGCCATTTCTTCGTCATAAATAAATACAACTTAAGATTTCTAAAATATTTACAAAATAATTGCACTATTCTTACGTATGGTAACTAGTCATTAAAATAAAAAAATAGAATATTGTTTTATCCTACAATTAACCTGTCAGAGGACCTACGTAGGGTCGAAGGTCCCGAAATAGCCATAGGCGGAGGTGCGGGAATGTGTCCCAACGACCTCATCCTGTGCAACCCCGCACTTTGAACAATGTCCTCGCTTATAGACCTATTCCTTGACCTCCTCTGTTGTGTATTTCTAGCCGAATTGAGCTCAACTTGTCGTATCGACGCCGATCTGGTCCTTTTTTGAGGCACCGATTGTAACGAATCTTCGTAACTGAAACCAAAAATGAGAACGCGAAAACCCAAAAACGTGACTAACCTACTTGCTGCTCTCTTCCGACGATTGAGAACACGATTGCCTACACTGACAGTGGCCAGCATCCACAATGCCCGAATCTTGCCCACTGGAATGAAGAGACGTTATCGACTTTTCTATACAACCAGAACTTCGAGACCTCTCTCTGAAAGTCCGGCGAGTGCTTGACATGCGTTGGCAAGACCGATCATGATGGTGGTGCACAATATCATGCCCCGAGTCGGTGTAGTGAAGGTCACCGAAACTCGCAGGGAAGAGACTAGGTTTGCCCAAAGTGCCGATTGGGTAGCCCAAAGGTTGGGCAAAACTTTTCTGAAGCAACCTAAAGCCGGAAATGAGCTTTTCCAAGTCGGGCAAAAATTTTGACTTACCTGCGTTTCCGTCTGCGGGCACACATGACGCAAATAGCGGTGGCTAGGGCTCCGATGAAGACCACGCAGCCTAAAACCACAACCCCTACTTCGAGGGAGGAGAGGATGACGCGTTGGTTGCGAGAATGCCCGCGTTCGGAGACGCCGCTAGCCACTGCGAGGACTTTGGGGCCTTGGAGTTGGTGCTCAATTTCGTTTGTTTTTAACTGGAGGACTCTGAAAACATTTGGAGTGATGTTTTGTAAGATTTCAAGACTTTTTTCTTACTTTTGGAGCTGCTCCATGTCGACCACAACATTTAATATAGGATCAACTGCATACAGGTACATATCGGTACTGAAGTAAAAAGTGTTACAAAATTTTCAATTTTTTAAGTTGGTACTTACGCGCTGTTATCTATCTGATTGCGTTCAGAATGTGGTTCTAATTTACGAATCCTAATATCGTATCCAGTTGTGTTATGCAAAATCCTGCAAATGTGTGTGTTTAAAAGATATAAATAAAATAAAAAAGATTTCATTTGTCTACATTGAGTGGGAAAATGCCAAAATTTTTTGTAATTTCAACTAAAGGGTGTGTAGAAGTTCGATCCAATAGCAATAAGTATCTGATCTAACTTTAGACAAACCAATATTAAGAAATGATTTATTTCATATCATAGAGGTGCACCAATAAAGTTTGTGGTTATCAAAAGAGTGACACTCTTGCTTTATCTGCCCTAGCAAAGTGTTTTAAAACATTTATATTAGTTAATTCTGAAAAACACTTTTAAAAGACAATTAGTTTAGAAAGTATAGTTAATCTGAATTATACATTTTACTAAAAACAAAATATTCTACAAAATTTGCGAAAGAACCGCTATTCTGCTAAATATGTTACTCGGAGATTTAATAAAGTTTTTGATATGTACTTATTTTGTTTTTTTCTAAAATAAATGTAATTTGTTATATATTGAATCCGAATACTGTCTTTCTATGCTCATCTTTAATAAGTGATAAGTTCAAGTTGCAAGCATTGATCAAAATTTAACGTATAGTTTTTGCTAAAACATAAAAACTTTCAAAAACATAACTGTCTTATTAAATAAAATTATATAAAAAATATATTCTAAAAATAAGCTTTTATAAAAAATATACCTACTAAAAACTAAAATAGTTATTTTTGTTACAAGTACCTAAAATACAGTTTTCGCGGACAAATTGTTGATGTTTCCGGACGAGACGAAGCCGAGTCTGGAAAAGCAGATGAATCCGCAAAAACGTTCTAGGTACGTGATACAAACGACATTTTTTTGTTGAAGCTCCCAAAAAACGAATTCACACCTCTTAATAATTAAAAACAAAATTCTCCACCATTGTAACCAAATTGACTTTTTTGTCCAAAAAGATTGTTTTTAGGGAGTGGGTAACTAAAATAACCATTTTACATACTTACTATTTTATTGAGTTCGAAAGAGACTCATTTTAGGGACTCAACTGAATCCCTAAAAGAGCTATTTTTGAGAACGTATACAAAAAATATGTTTTTCTCTCAAAGAACATTTTTGCTTACAGCTTACCAGTAAGTTTTTAGAATTTGTAAAAAGTTTGAGAGCGGTTACAACACCACAAGTATTGCACACTTACTTTGACCGCCCTCAAAACTTTTATAAATTTTAAAAACTGTAAGCAAAAATTTATTTCTCTAACAAAAAATTAATGTTTTACTTTTTAGTAAATTTTTTTAAATGAAAGCTTATTTTTGAAAATTATTTTTTAAATATTTTTATTTTTCCCTTTTTAGTTTTTTTTTTATTTATTATTTTATCAAATACTTTAAATGTGAAACTCAAAGAAAAGTTTTATTTATTAAGTAGAACTGAATCTGTCTTAAATAGTAATGTTTAAATTTCAGCCCGTAATATCTTCCTTCCAGTCGGAGATGGGGTTGGTGTTGGCCTTAAAAATTATAGAAACCTGTAGGGTTTTTTCTGCTCTATCAAATGGAGTTAGTTCCATCTTCGTATAACAATTAGGAGCCGAAATATTGTTTATGACAATTGTTAATTGTTTGGACGACGAGAACTGTCTCAAATTTGACTCGTAAGATTTTGTGCAGACAGACAGACAACAAAGAAAGTTAAATAAGAGCTTATGAAAAACGAAATTTGTAACTCTAAAGCACTCTAAATTTATGACAATTTTTGCTTAGATATTTTTTTTTAATTTAAGACTCCTTTTTAACATTTGCTCAAAATTAGAACAAGTAGTATGTACCGTTTTAGTCTAAATTCGTTTGATAAATTACGGACTAAACCATTTTAAAAGTAAACTACACCCGAAGTAACCTCAACATTTATTTACCCAAAAAACTTCAACTTTCGTAGAACGACCCCCAATATGTACTCACAAGGTAATATTCTCAATGTGCCTCTCGACATCCGTTGGTTTTAACCCCATGACCATCACAAGTTGCTTCTGATCATCCAAAACGTAAACCTGCAAACGTTGTTTTAACAATCCCTTCCTTCTGTCATCCTAACTTACAAAAACATTCGCAATTGACGATTTCCCATCATCAGCTCCTCGCCGATCCGTCGCTTTTACATCAAATCCATACACTTTCCCGGCATCTCTCGCAAAGTTAGCAATTGCTCGAACCTGGCCTGTAATCGGATCGATGGTAAACCTCCTGGCGGCTTCATCAGCGCGCCCTAGAATCTGGTAGCGGACTTCTCCATTCAAACCCAAATCCGGGTCTTTCGCCTGAAAGAAAATTTCAGTGGACGATCCAGACCCAAAGCTTGCTCACCTGGAGTCGTAAGATGTGGTGGCCATAACTGGCAGTTGTGGGGATTGCTGCAATTATAGGACGACCGGTGATTGTGAATTTTGGGATATTATCATTAACATCGGTTATTCTGATAATGACTTTGACTTCGTTTAAGCCTAAATTGCCAAGTCTCTCGTTTGTGACTGGATAGACCATCACTGTCATGTCTCGCCCCACTTTGTATTGCTCCAATCGAATTATTAGTTCGTAAAGAGCTTTTTTCTCGCGATCTGGACTTTCAATGATATACAAAGTACCGTTCCGAGGGTCAATTCGGAAAGTTTTTCTAACGTCACTATTTTTCTCAGCGACTATACTATATTTCAGTTTGTGTGTCCTATAAGATTCTGTTACATTCAAAGTCAAGACTTTAAGAGGCACTGGGACATTTTCCTCGACTTCTACTTCGTAATACCGATGAGCAAACACCGGATGTTCCATTGATTGCAAATCCTCGGGGACATCAATCACTGTTACTACAAGAAGCGCAGTAGAACTCAAACTCGGTGACCCCAAATCAGACGCCACTATAGTAATGTTGTGCATATTTTGATTCTCAAAGTCCAATTTCCCAATTGTTGTTACTATCCCTTCTTTCGAGTCAATGGTAAATAAATTTTGTCGATTCTTTTTAAGCGGAATATCAAAAAGAAGCAATCCGTTTCCGTTACCGGTAAAATCGGAATCGTTTGCAAAAATCCGGGTAACCGGAGTCCCAATCGGACTATTCTCCGCCACAGTCGCGTAATAAACCGGAATATTTTCCTGGTAATTGTGGTTACTATAAGTGTTGGATTCTGGATTTGGTAGCAAATCATCATAACCGTAAAAACTAGGAGGGTTATCATTGACATCCAAAACATTCACTTCTACATTAACAAAACTACTCAAACTCTCCCCTTTAGTCGGATTATCTTTCGCCACAACAACAAAATTGTACTTGTCTTTAGTTTCCCGGTCAAGGACCCCATCAATGGTCAAAACGCCCCCTTGTGGAGTAATTGCAAAAGGTAGTTTGGGGTCCTTTTCCTGGATTTTGTACGTTATGTTGGCATTTGGGCCAAAATCTCCATCAATGGCCTCCACTCTCCCGATTATATTCCGGGAGTAGGAGGCCTCCTCGGCATCGAAGTTGTACCAGGATTTAGAGAAAACAGGAGGGTGGTCATTGACATCTTCGATAGTAAGTCGGACTGAAATGTGGTCTTTGAGACCTCCTTTATCACTCGCGGAGATGTTGAGCCGGAATTCGGATTCGGGTGGGAGGGTCCTTGAAACAGAGATCTCACCGTTGGTTGAGTGTACCATGAAATACTGGGTCAAATGGAATGGCTCAGCTGAGTACTCATTGGGAATGTACGTCTCAGAAACCATCTCATACTTGACAACAGCGTTATCACCAAAATCTCTGTCTTCAGCGACGAGTTTGATAACCGGAGTACCAACACTGATATCCTCTTTCAAAATTATTAGTGGTGACATTTTACCTTTGGCTTTTTTGGCTCTTATATAGGCCGGTGTGAGGACATAAGTGCCCTTAGTAGAATTTTCGGGTTCAAAATGACCGATTCGATTACCCAGCTTATCGTATTCCTCAATTTCGGCATCGATTTCGTCATAGACGATGAATTGAACAAAAGTTGGGGAATTATCATTTTCGTCTTCGACCATAATTATGAGAATAGCCTCGTCATAGAGCCCTCCTTGGTCTTTTGCAACTAACCTCAAATTAAAAACGCTTGTTTCTTCACGGTCTAGAGGACTATCAGAGCTTGTGAAAAAAATTTTGCCGGTATTTCGGTCAAGTCTAAATTTTTCACTCCCATTTCCAAATATTGTCACACTAAACTGACCATTGTCACCGGTATCTTTATCACTAACATGAATGAGGTAGTTTAAGTCAACTTCAGTACCGGAAATGCAATTTTCGGTCACTTTTCCCTCGTATTTCGAGTGTTCGAAAGTCGGTTTGTTGTCATTTTCGTCGTCAACGTGGATTGTCACTTGATAGATACCTGTACCAGTAATTGCACCTTTACTATACTCGGCGAGGACTGTCAATCGGTAAACATCGCGCGTTTCACGGTCTAGAGGCTTCACTGTGTATAAACTACCATCGGAAGTTATTGAAATGTGGTCAGTTACGTCTTTTTGATTGGCTATTGAGAAGACCAAGCCACTTGAGTTCGCATTTTTGAAACCCAAACGCCCGATTAGGAGATTACCGGCATTCTCCTTCACATGGAATTCAATCGGGGCAGTACCGGCCCTAAAATAACAAAAATAGTGTTTTGTCAACTTAACACACCAAAAACTTACTTCATAAGAATTGTTTTTTCGTCTTTGGGATCAACAACATGAATTGTTACATTTGTAACCAAAGTCATTTCTTTTTCGTTAGTTACAACAGCCTCAAATTCGTAATTTTGTCGATTGTAGTTTTCCAAATTGTCAACAACTGTGATAGTACCTGACCGTTCTTCGACAGCAAATGGTACTAAAACCAAACTAGAGTAGTACCTACTTTATTTTAGTAAAACTTGAGCTTTACCTCCTTCATGATAGCTGTGTAACAAATCATAAATTAATGTTCTACGATCAGGGACGTCAGCGACCCGAATTTGGCCCACACTAGTACCAACACCCACGTTGCCCCCGACCCAAAATTCATAAGGGGCCCCAACAAAATCGGGTAAACCTTTAACAGTGCCTGAAATTGAAATATCAAATGACAAAAAGAAGAAAAACTGTTTTTTACATGCAATTTTTTTGTTAATGCCAAAATAGCAAAAAATGTTTTTGGTCTGTCGTTTTATTTTCATCTATTACTAAAACGCTCAAACGCTCTCAACCCGTGTAAAAAATAATTAACTAGCAATATACAGGGTGTTTCACATAATTTTACGAGGCCTGCGCTTGTAAGATGCAATCAACAATACGTATTCCCATACGAACTCGATTACAAATTTTGAAAAATTGGATAATCTTCTCTAGTTTGTTCACCCTTTCAAAAATTACAACATTTTTAGTTAGTTAGTGATTAAGATAGATAAACTACAATCATATTCATGCCGTTTCTTGATAGAACAAATGATAATTGTTTCTGAAAAACTGCAGTTTATGACTATTAATGAAACAGTGATTAGTTGGACAACTACTGTTGGGTTAAATTAAATAATGAAATGTGTATTTTTTGTATCTAGTGTTTTGTGAATTTTGTATATTTAGGTGCGGACATTAGGCGCAAGCCTCATAAAGTTGTGTGAAACACCCTGTATAATAACTAGAAATCAGGTAGTATGAGGTATAGAAGGAGGCGAAATAAATTTAAATAATGAAATAAATATAAATTTTGACAAAACCCTATAGTGTGAGTTTTTATTAATTATATAAAATATTTGCAAATCAGATAGTATGAGGTTAGAAGGGGCCGAGCGGCAAAGCCGCGATCCCCCTTTATAAATTTTGACAAAATCCGAAGTTCTACACGAGAGGCGAGCGGCTGTTCCAACGACTATTTTTACAAAACATTTGCGAATCCGACAGGATTTGCTTGATTTAGCTAGTACCTTTGCTAGTTTGTGGTTGTACTTCGATTGTGACCACAGCCAAAGACGACCGTCTTTCACTTGGATTTAAAGGCTGGTCTGAGGCTTCAACGAACAAGAGATGTCGTCCCGGAGGTACTACCTTTTGATTAACACTGATTTTGCCCGACTTTGGATCAACTTTGAACGGTACTGAGTTATTTGGAGCTTTTTGGATCGAATAAGTGACCATTCCATTCCGACCCAAATCTGGATCAATCGCATGGATTTGTCCAACAACATCTCCAATTTTCAGATCACTATTTGTGATAAAATTGTAGAGATTATTAGGGATGAAAGTTGGGTTATTGTCATTTGCGTCCAAGAGAGTAACTTCAATGTTGACAGCAGAAGCCCCAAGTTTACTATTAACAACACTGGGAACTTTTTCTTTGGCATATACTTGCATTCGCAGAGTTGATCGTTTCTCGCGGTCCAAGACACTCTGGTCTCTCACCTAAATCAAAATTTTTACATTTTTGACAAATTCGAAAAGAGGTGCGTTACCGTAAGCCATCCGGTTCTCGAGTCGAGAGTAAAAGCCCCAGTGTTGTCCTCCAACTGGTAGGAGAACTCAGCATTATCGCCTTGGTCCTGATCAACTGCAATAATCTGCAAGACACTGAAACCATTCGGTAAATTCTCGACAATGCTAATATTATAAAAGTCCACTTCAAATTCGGGTAAATTATCATTCAAGTCCATTATCTCGACTTCAACTCTTGCCACACCAGTTTTGGCCGGATTATCAACTTGCGATGCTTGAATTTGCAAAACAAAAGTGTTTCCAGGAAGAGATCTCTCCGAATCGATGTCAATCTCGCGTTCGATGAAGAGCGAACCGTTGACATGATCCAAGGAAAAAATGTGACGCTCATTTCCTATTTATTATTACTTTTCACTAAAATTCTTGAAGAAGGGATTTATAACTTGCCTGCGATGATGTCGTACCGGATGGGCGCATCAATGGCGATGTCCTGGTCGAAGGCGTGGATGGGGGGGTCAAAGGTGAGAAGCTTGTGAATCCGCTCGCCCTGGGAAATAAAGAGGACATTGTTGCGGTTTAGATTCGCCGATAAAAAGGTTAAGTGCGATTTCAAGTTTTTTGAAACAGTTGCGCATAGCGTTCACCCATATGGGACGATTTATGGTACTTGTAGATTAGCTGTTAATAAGCAATCAACGCTCCACTTTTCTCCACATTGGAATTGTTTCAAGTGACCTCTGTTATATGTTAAAAATGATCCGTAATTACAGCACTTAAGAGGAAAAGCTTCCGGTAGGTACTACAATTGCCCTTTTTATAAAAATCGTAATTAGAGTGGTGTTGGGTTGGAGGTCGATCAGCTCAAGCGAGTTTGAGCAATTTTCATTCCATCACAAGTGCGAAATAATTAAGAGGGAAATTGATAGTATGTACTACACGGAACTTAAGCCGCCAAGAATTCCAGATCTAACACCTAGCGAGGTTTGTTAAATCAGTTCTAAACGCCTCTCTCTTAAAATGCATTTCACCTTCGTTCCTAAAAAGCCCGAAATTATGAAAATTATTCTAAACAAACATCGGATTTGTTTGCGAATGAAAGCAACACGAGGTGGTGAAAGTGTGCATTTATTAATCAATTTAAATGCCATTATGGAGTCACATAAAGAGACCGGAAAGTCATTCTGTGCATTTAATTTATTCCTGTCAAATGGATCCACCGAAAAAATGTGATTCGCGTTGATAATTTTTTGATTACTGGTTTTAGAAGCGTGTGAACTGAAAATCGAGACTAGTGGTTTATGGTCGAATAGATTAAATCCATTTCCAGTTTTCTTAAGCGGAAATAAATAAGATTAGCGGATTATAAAGTGCGAATGTAATCAACAGAATAAATTAGCAATCTCTAATGGAAATTGTAAATAGATATTAATCGGTGTTTAAAACGCACACAAAAATTTAATGATGTATCAATATCATATATCGAAGTCGTAAATAATAATCATTGATAATTAAGTACTGATTTTGAACCTCCCAACCCATTTTAAATCGCTGGAATGTACAGTTATGCTGTTTGTTTATAAATATTTTTAGAAAGTTGACCAAATTTTTGATAATCATGTTAGTTATGATTTTTTTACAAGTATAAAAGTGTTCTACTATCGCTGAATAATATTAAGAGGCGGCATGCGTAAAATTAAATCTCACTTTTAATAAAAGTTGTCGTTTCCGTTGTTTTATTGTTTATTTGCTCAAAATTGCAACTTTGTTGAAGGTTTTGTATTTTTCAAAACCCATACTTATAACTGCAACTTATTCAAATATAATGGGTTGAGAACAAATGTAATTAAATTTGATTTACGAATATTAAACTGTTAGAAAATAACCGTACGCATCTTGATAAGAAGTTAAAAAAATATGGGAACTTGGTAACTTCACACATAATTAAGACTCTTGAAATTTACAATTTCGTAATAATAGAGGCACTATTAATATTAATTTGTATAAGACGGTAGTTGGAATTGTGTTACAAGTAGAAAATTAATTACAGTTACATAAATAATCAAGTAAACAAAATCATGACTTACTGTGATTGGATAAAATTCGTTGATTCGTGTCCTGTAGACTCCTTTTGTGAACTTTGGGCTGAGATCATCATTGTCGTTGACGGTGATTCGGATCGTTGTGTTGGTACTCCTGGGAGGAATCCCCCGGTCCTGGAACAGCAAAATCAGGAAGCTTTCTCTTGTAGTGTTACTTAAGACTACCATAAACGGTTGTATTAATTTTGCCACATGTAATTATTTAATAGCCCTCATTAGATTTTTCTGTTTTATTTTACTTTCGATGACCCGTTGCATCACTTTGTTTGCTTTTGTGCAATTAAAAAATTCATTTTTTACTTGATGATACTTTCTACCAGTTTGAGAATCGTTCCGGAAGAAAAATTCGTCTGTGAGAACCCTTTTTGCATAAAAGTGCAATCAAGCGAATAATTTGTGCTTGGTGTCAAATTGTGTTAATAAGATTGGTCCTGCGGGTCAAGTTAGCCGCAGTACTACCACCATAATTGGGTAACTCCATAAATCATGCATGATCAATCATGGGCACGATCTTACATACCGATGCTGCAATCGTTAGAAGAAATTCGCGATCGCCTGTATCGTAGTCGAGTGGTCTCTTGAGAATGAGGAAGGCTTGTTGGCTGCTGTCCAGGGCGAATTTACCACGTTCGTTTCCGGAAATGATGACGTATTGGACGTCCGAGTTGGGCGTGTTGGGCTTGTCGCGGTCCGAGGCGCGGATTCCACGGAAGATTGTAAGACCTGAAACAATTTCCACCCGTTAATGTTACAACGTATTTTTTCTGGACGTGCTTGACGTCAAAGAACACCCATTTGTAATACTAAACACGCAAAAATAATGTAGAAACCCAATTTTTGCAAACTTTCTATTAGAACACAGACAAAACAGCAGCGACCAGGATGCTAAAAAACTTCAGTTCGAATTAGAATCATGTCTGCAATTTCTCAAAAAAAATTTAATTTCTAACATAATTTTAGTTTTGAAAAATTAAGTATGCTTTGAAACTCCACAAAACTTATTTTCTTGTAAAGTGCTTTTTGTGTGGCAAGTAGTAAAAAAAAAAATAAAAAAAGTTGTTTAGAATCAACTTCCAAGTCCATATACCAAATTTCAAAATCATATGCCAACTATGATTTTTTTATGTTAAATAATTCACAAAACAAAGAGTTTTATTTTTAACAGTTCTTTTATTTCGAATTAGACATATTTAGATTATTAGTACTAAATAAAATTTTGACGTTTCTGTTAATTTTTATTATTGTTTTTTAGTATGTAATTATCTTGGAAAAAAATAAAAAATCGTGGTTTGCCGATGATTTTGAAATTTGGTATAGGGGCCCAAATGATGATTCTAAACCACTTTTTATCGTAAAATGGTTTTAGGATATAGGATATACAGACAGTATGTCCCCGAATTGAGTTTACAAGAGGAAAAAAAATATCTTTGATTTTACGCCAAAACAACAAAGGAAAAACATTTTTTGCTCTATATAAAACCAGCAAATCTGTAAGTAAAACATCATTATTCTAATTCAGTAGAAAGAAAAGTTAATTTTTCTCTTGATTTTTAGAATATAGAATATAGAATATAGAATATAGAATATAGAATATAGAATATAGAATATAGAATATAGAATATAGAATATAGAATATAGAATATAGA